AAGTTAAGTGGTTATCATTACCCATTTTACTCTTAGTAATTTAATAATTTAATACATTTCATAATTTAAAAGTTTAGTTCAGAAGTATCGTATCGGTATCGGTATCGACGATACTGCCTTGAAAAATATCGGTATCGTATCGAAAACAAAATAAGTGGTATCGCCCATCCCTAGCGCCCACATGTCTACGTCACTATGTGGAAATATTAGCATAATGCCGCCCAAATGTGCACGCAAAGATGAAGGCGTGGTTTCAGGAACAACAGTAGTGTTAATGCAGCCATGTCAGGAAGACGCTGTGTGTTTCAGTGCGAAATCAAAGCACTTTATTTGGCCTTCCGGAAGTAGATGCAATTAGGAATTATTGGTTAAGATTTATTTACAAGAGAACAGCACAACCCAGATGTTCGAATTTGTGCAACGCATTTTATGGACGACAGTTTTTTGAACCTAGAATAGTGCAAGGCTGGCTGTGCACAAAGGCTATTTCTAAAAAAAAATAGGTAAATTCCGACTTTGCTATGACAATCTGGCGCTTCTGAATCAGCGACTGTAAGTATGTTTTGTTATCAGTTTAAGTATTTGCTATTGACTGTTCAAATGCGGAGTTTTGCGCAGCGCAGAGTAACGTGTCGTGTGTGTGTTTGTGAGGGGAACAGGGTCACATCACAGGAGAGTGAACTGCTTGTCAGAAATCATAGCACGTCAGCTGTCTTAACCGCGGCTTGTGTACTGCATCATCACTGTGTCTGTCACGCGACTCTGTTGCCCTTTCGGGCTTGAACTGATGGTAAAACTAACGACATTATTGTCTTGATATTTACTTTGAAAGCTGAAGTGATTATGGTAAGGGGCGTTACATTTCCGACACGTGCTTGTGGTGTTCGGCCAATCACAATGCACTGGGTCAGCTGGCCAATCAGAGCAGACTGCGCTTGTCAAAGGAGGGGGCTTTGTTGAAAACGACGTGTTTGAGAGAGGCGGGGCATACAGGACCTACAATAATGTACAGTATTTGAAAAATAATGTGTTTTTTGAACATTAAAGGATGTCAACGTATGCTGTTACATCAAATACACAAAATAATGATCTTTAAAATAGCATCATATGACCCCTTTAAAAACGTGTGCAAACGATACGTTTTAGTGACCTTGTCACATGACCTTGTTACTGCGATAGAGACGATAGTTGAAAATCAGTTGACAAATTTCTACTGGTTAATTGTGCCTACCGGTATATTGCCCACCACTAGTAGTACAGCATAGCAGTAAAGTATTACAGTATTGCAAGGTGTTATCAGAGTGTCATGACATATGTTAGCAGGAAATATTAGCACTGCTAAGACTTAGCAGAAGGGTAGCCCAGTCAGCATCTATTATTTTTAATGTCATTGCTAACCCACAAAGCTGTATGGGGCTGCACAGGGCCATTACTAGTCTATTGTGCATGTGATCATCTTTGATGCTTCACGTTTTATTCGTTCTGCTCGCATCAAGTCCCACCACTGCCCTCTCAGTACAGTC